ATTTAACACTGCATACTCTCATCATTAAATTAGGTATAATCTACATCGAAAAGATGACTATTCAATACATTTAAGGGTTATTTCTTCTTTGTGTATACATAATAATAGTGAATTATCAGATAGAAGCAGATGAAATGATATGCAATTTCACAGATATTCATTACTATATTCATTGTAAGGAAAAAGCAATCTAAAAATACAACATATTTTCAGATGTTATAACCCTCTGTTGAAATATTAGAATAATTATTTAGAAGTAGAAGAATTTTTTTAAGAAATTAAGGATTACAAATTGAAATTTGGAGAAAAAATCAATTTTCAAATAACAATACTAATAAGGGTAAATTATTAAAGCGTTTAAGCTATAACGTTTGTCAAGTGGAAATTTACAAACAATCAAATAAATTGCAGTTTAAGTTATTCATGCTATTAACAAATCTTCCTTTATTTGAACATCATTCTAAGGTTTAAATAATTTAAACTAAATTAGACTATCCAATTATATTAAAATTAGGGAAGAACAACATAGGCAAAAAAACACTTAGAAATTAAAAGAGATTCATTCATGAAAAGATGTAGGATATTAGTAAGCAGACTGAGGACTTTGACTACAAGTCTAAATAACATGTAGGATAAAAGTAAATTTATTTAGAGTACGATTACTAAGTAAAATAAGTGTAAGAATTTGGATATAATTTTGAATAATTGATATATGTGGTTGTGAAACTTATATAAATTTTCAAATAAATGAATCCAAGTTTATTTCAATTCAGTTAATCCCTTAATAATGATAATGTTATAAGCAAAATATAAATATAAGAAATTTCACTTTTCAAAATTTTAGCAATCAAATGTTAAAAATATTAAGTAAATGAGAAAATATAGTTCAAGGGTTTCAAGTAAGAATAGTTGCTGCATTAGTTTAATAATATCAAATAAACTGACTTCCATTTAAGTTGGCTCTGAAAAATAACACATAATTTAAGATGTCAAGTTTTAAACAAGATTTTACTTAATACCTCCAATAATTTATGATTTAAATGGAAGAATTCAATAAGTAATTGCAAATCCTTTACATAAGAGGAAGGATTAAATAAAAATTGTGAAATTATGAAAAAGCTATCAAATGAGATAGATAAGCTGATAAAAAAACCAATAGGTTATTATTCTATCAATGCGTTTCCAAAATATCTACCACGAAGGAGATAATGCCTTAAGAAGTAAATCATAATTACATTTTCAAATGGAATATCCTAAATTTAAAATTTCAGACAAATAGCAAATATCTTTTGTTAACAATCCTGATTATTTATACAAATATAAGCCAGCTTTATATAGTTTGAATCTGATTTAGAAGCGCAAAATATTGACAGCTAGATAATGAGGCATAATGAGGCTTGGTTATCCTATCAAATTTGATTAGCTTATAATATCTAGTCTATTTCAAAAACATAATATGGCTGAATTGAAACTTTGAGGCTTCAAGAATTAGGTTTAAATTGATAAAAAAGCCATTTAAAATTAAATCATATGAACCCAGAAAATAACTTTCTAATTGATTAATTCTATTTCAATTGCTTATTTATCTTCTAGATTTTCATGATGAACTTATTGGAATCTTAAATATTGCATTAACTTGATCTATTCTCCAAATATCTACTTACACATTTTTTAATTAGAATCAAAAAGTGTTGTGTAAAATGGTTTGCAAATATTTCTTATCAATATTAACAATTTTTAAATGCTAATAAATTTTATAAATATGCATTTATATCTTTTATAGTTAGTATGACTTAAAAGGCAAAAAATATGAAAGATCCTATTAATGATTTTCAATAAATCTCGTACAGGATTTTTATATAAGTTGTTTTCTCTTAAACTAATAATATAGTAAATAATATACTATTATAAAATGAATGAAGAGTATAGCCCTCCATTAAAACTAAGATTCAAATGAAAAAAATATTTTCTCTGCTAATATATAACTTAGTGAGGGACTGCAAAACACAATTAAATATATATATTAAGATCATGTCACAAGAAAAAATTGTTTTATTTGAACTTTTGATTTCAACCTGATATTTAAATTGTTCAAATTTCAAAGGACCATATACGTTTGAATCAATAAACGAATAATTGGTTTTACATTATTGCAAATTCTATCAATGATTAATTATTAGAATAATTAGATGATGAAATTAGGACTTAAATAATCTAAAGCTTACAACTTGTTCTTTCTTGAATGTGATAATTAAATAAAAGGATAAATTCATTAATTTGAAGGGACCCTTTTAGAAAATTAAATATAAATTGAATATTATGTTGTATAAATGACTTAAAATAAATAAATTCAGCATTATTCTCTAGAATACATTTTTAAAGTCTAATCTCAAGAGATATTAGCTAAATAAGGTAAAGGAAGTTGATTTTAAGTATTAACAAATACTTTTTTGTTTAAATTATTACTCTAAAACATGGAGATAAAATAATCAATAAAAATGAGTTGATTTAATTTGCTTCTTTGGCTGACAATTTTAATGAAAATTTAGAAATTTTGTACTTTTAGTTATATTCTATTTTTGGATGTAAGTCATATTGAAATCTTTAAAATCAAAGAAACCATCTTGATTTTTGAAAATAAATTAAGCAAATTTTAAAGGAAGAAAAATGCGTTCGAAAGTGCTATTAAATGTTTGAATTCTAAAGAGATATCTTAGAAGCAAAATACTTTATTATAGTAATTTTGAGGATGAGGATTTTAAAGAAGAGTGCCATAAATAAGAAGGTTAAGATAAATAATTTATTTAAAAGGTAGCTTAACTTAAATCCTCAAATACAGAATAATTAAAAGAATTTGCAGAAATTTCAAATAATTAATGTTTTATCAACTTGAATCATTATCAAGTCATTCATAAGATTTGATAAAAGAATTTATTAAATTCTTAACATTATTCGAATAACGATTAAAAGTTTAAGCTAAATAATCTTATTTGCTGCCTTGCGTAAAAGGATCATCAGAGTAAAAATATAAAGAAAAATAATGATAAAAGTTATGAAGAATTGCACATTGTTTATTTAATAAATTTTGCTGTCCTTCCTAAGTTTCAATTTTTTAGACCAGACGCTCTTATATATATAATAAATATAATAATAAACAATGATGATGATTAACTCTTTTCAATATGTGTATCATTATTTAATCATATGTTTTGGTTAATTGAATTAAATTGGTTTCAAATTTTAAGTTGATTGTTACTTCTGTTGTTGTTTTCATTTATTTATGTATCCTAGACAAACATTCTGCTTTTTCCATAGCACTTTTGAACCCCTTTTTTTAGCTTGGATAACA